AAAAAAAAAAAAAAAAAAAAAAAAAAAAAAAAAAAAGCTTTGTAAGCCTTATAAATAGCATATATCTCGCCAGCAGCAGAACCTGCCCCTGGCTTGGCTTCAGAGAAAGTGCAGTAACTTTCAGGGGGCAGAGAGGGAAATGAAATTGCTTGAGTTCCCAGTCCTTGTCTTGGAGCTTGGAGTCTCCTGTCCCATTCCTCCTCTACTCCCTACTCTAGGGGTAATTCTTTCCCTCCGCTTATGTACTTTTGCCAAGAGGTGTCAAAACTGCTCAAAAAAAAAAAGAAGCTTGATTTTGATTAATATAGAGAAACAAGACTTTGCCTGACTGATAATAAAACTGATAAATGACATTTGAATTACTTGTAGCGGTAATTTATTACATAAAATATCTTTTATTTGACATGCGATTAGTTGCTGGAAGCATCACTCAATCTGACTAGTTTAAACATGCTCTAAAATGAACCCCCAGTAAAAAAAACAGGGCTGTCTATTCGGTGCTATGAAATATACTAATCCAGGAGTGAGGACGAAAATCTGACTTCAAATATTTAAATGATTAATTGGGTTTATATATTTTTTTTACCTTTCTCACCCCCTTAATTACAAGCAAACTCCAGGGAGTTTTGAGCTAGGTGGGCAAAGCTGTGTGCTTATCAACCAGGCATTGTCTGTGTCTGTGTTCTTCTCCAGGGTATTTATGGCCTCCATTCATGGGTGTTCATGCAGATTTTACACCTGCTAAAAAATCAGTGACTGCTTTTCTCCCAACTCTGATATTCTTTCTCCTCCTGCCCTTTTCTTCATAAGGCAGGACTCTGTAAAGTAAGAGGCCTTGTTCTCAGATAGTTTGATGTGGTGGCTCCTGGTTATCTTATCAGGTCTGCCTGCCGTAGACTCACTGTTTGTCCTAGAAGAAGGCAGCATTCTGTGCCTCAGTTTCGCAGTTTGTAAAGTATAGGTATTGATCTGACAGATTTTGCTGTGGCTCAGTGAGCCTTAATTCACTGATGTCAATCCAGGCCAATCCTCCAGTGAAGTGGACTCTGAGCAGACAGTTAGCATTTGTTCCTGGAGTGCTAATTGCACTTGTTCCATGGCCACTGCTAGCACTTGTGATTGAATAAGCTTAGGGAGACCCCAAACCTAATGGTCCAAGGGAGGGAAGTGATATATTGCTATGAGCTAATGTTGTTCAGGCTTCTTAATGTGTCAGTGATTCAGCTTAGCAGGGTATGGGTGACTCTTATTTACCCTGGTCACCTCTCGGTGGGAGGATGTTAGCAGAGATCAAGTACATCCAGAATGACATGGTCCTGGACCTTTCTGGCAGAATATGGAGTCTCCAGAGCTGCAGGGCACTTTTGGGATTAGTACTGAACTTTGCTGGTGTAATGCCTTGTCTACTGTAATACTGTATACTGAGCCAGGGAAGTTTAGGTCTCTGCCTTTTCTTTCTGCTTCAGTGTGTCCAGTTAAAAACTGACCTGGTCATCGCCACGTGCATTTCTGTAGCCCTTTGTATAGAAGCTTCACTATATATCCCTGTTGGTCACCAGCCCTCCAAAGGGAGTGCAGAACTAAAATACCTTTTGCGGACCTGGATCGTGTTATCTTTCCTCTCCTTTATATTGCAATTCCAGTTTTAAAGATGGGGAAACTGAGGCATAAAGGTTTACTCAAGTCTCTGAGCAAGTGCCCAAGGACATGGAGAGGAAGAGCTGGGTTTAGAAACCGGGGTCCCAAGTGGCGGGCTTGGATTTAAATTATAGGCTAGTAAAGAGAGATTGCAACTGAAAAGGGGATGCTGAGATTAGCTATGATATTTCTCCTCCCTGTAATGCTAATGTGGTCAATGAAGAGTCCTCGCTGTGTCCCTCCCTGCCTTTGCTTTCCACTTCCTCCCTTTTTTTTTTTTTTTTTTCCCC